CATCAGATTTCCATCAGTAAATCCATCCTTCTCCTCACAGAACCCTGTGACTGTCCTACTCTTGCAGCTAAAAATGTGGCTGTGCTTCTCTGATGCTCCTGTCAGTCAGGAACAGAGAGAAAGGCACTATGAGGCCACATTTTCCAAGTGTAAGACAGGGACAGGATGATTTATACCATACCACTCAAGAAGCAGACTTACATCTTACATTCCCTGTAGCACTTTTCACCCCAAAGGATGCCAAATGGTACATTTGTCCTGCCAGAGATGTCAAGAGCGATGGTTTCTGATGTTAAATCAGTGTGAAGAAAATGGGAAAGACCTTTACCAAGAAATATTTCACTTATGGTTCTAAAAGCAGTAGACCCACATGCAGATGTAATTTATATCTGTGCAGGGCCTGAATTTTGCTACCAGATGTGACGTGCTGAGATAACACGCCTGCATTTTTTGCCGGGGGTACAGAGAGGAATTTGGGCTCTGTGATTCTTGTGTTTCTTTCTCTGCAGCAGTGAAGAGTGCTGGAATGCTCCTACTCCTGGCAGCTGTCAGGGAGAGGAGCTGTAGAGGCTGCTTTTCTGATGGGAGGGCAGCTGGCCATGAGTCTAATAAATTACCTCCTCACCCATCTGCAGTGCTGCCCTGCTCCTTGGGGGCCAGGTCTGAGAGATTCCTGGTTAGGAAACAGAATGTTTTCTTCCTTTCCATTAAATAGATTTTAAAGGGTGTAGGGGGAAAAACTTCACAGCCCATCTCAGCCCTGAAGTGGTGCTGGTTTGTCTCTCTGTCTGGCAGTTCTGGGGTGCTGTGCTAAGCTTCCTGCTGGGATGGCACAGACAAAAGGCTGCTGAGGGAGGCATTTGGATAAAGGATCCCTGGTTCTTTCCAGCCTGTGTAACTCCAGCTGACGTTTCCAGCCATTGTTGCTGGGAGTGTATTTTTCTGCGGCTTTTTAAATTCTCTCCAACCAAGTGGCTCATTAGTCTTCTCAGTGCTGTATGTCTGAGGAAGGAATGCTGAGACCAGAGCACTTCAGGGTTGCAGCTTAAGCAGGGTGAGGTGAATGGTGAAGAGCTCAAGAAGCAGAAAGGCCGTGTGGTGACAGACTTGGTCTGCTCCACTCTGTACAGGGAGGTTAATTATCACCCAGAGCTGTGGCCTGTGGGGAACAGCTCAAAAGCTGAGTCCTCACTGTGTTTACAGAAAGAACTAAAACAAGTTCCAGCAACCAGAGGCTGTAATATGGTCAAATTAAGAGCCCTTACACTCCATCTCCCAGTGATTGCTCCAGGCAAGGACATTCCATGGTGTGTAGGAGCTGGCTGGAGGAGCCTGCCCATTGTCCCATTACTGTGTGGGAGAAGGAGAAATGTTCTAGGTTGGACCCATGTCATCTGCTGTCACAACACAGATTCAAGGCAGTTTTTTCACGGGGGCATTAGCTGGGTGGGGCTGGATGCCAAGCCCACAGATCAGCACTAATTAAAACCCAGCAAGTTTTGCTTTGCTGTGTGGACACTGAGGAGCCGCTTTCAAGTGTTCCACCATCAAATCCATTGTCTCTTTTCCTCCTGGGGCATTTCAGCCCATGGAGAACACAGACAAGTTGACTCTCTAAGCCATTCCTCTGTTCCTGGCACAGTTTTCTGGGGCTTTGTTCTGTGACAAAACCATGGGTGTTCTTGAAAGTGCCACAGTGGAAGATGTGGGCCTTTGCCTCGACAAATGCTGTTGTCTCTGGGTGCTTGTTCAGTGTTTTTGAGAGAAGGTTTGGTGCAGAAGAGAAGGGAGTAGCTGGAAAATGACAAGTGAATGTGGAATTATGGGAAGCTTGGGATTTTTGGGGCTATGGGTTTTATTTGGTGAAAGCAAGACAAATAGTTGTGCAGAGTTTGCTCTTGTAATTTCTTTCTCCCTAGATTCCCAGCCTGCAAACATTTGCTTCTGGAAGTGACTGCTGAACAGGGAGAGGAAAACAAGGACCTAAGCTTGCCAAGCTAAGCCTTTGCTAGCCCACAGGCACAACCATTGAGCAGTCACATGCTGGAGGCAATGCCATTGTTTTTCTCTTCCACTTTCAAGTCACTCAGTTCTTCTATCATCAAGAAACACTGTGAACAGGTCCAAACACTCCCAGTTTCTTCAGCAGCTCTTTATTCCACTGGCTTCCAGTCAAGTACTGGTTATGGTACGATGTAGCCATCACTGAAAGACAAGTTTACCCTGCAGCAAAGGCTGGATCAATTTGTAGAACAGCTCTGTTCTTAAAGCACATCTTGTGGTGTTCTGTTCCATAACCCAGAGACATGGGAAAATGGAAAGCACACAGGGCACAGGCAAGTCAACAAGATTTGACACACAGCCCTCTGGAGAACGTGAGCTCAGATAAATTTGTGGCACGGCTCAAGTGCCAGCCGACACCCACAACACACACAGTTTAAGATCTAATAGCAATGAACTTTGCTTATGAACAAAAAGAAAAAAACCCAAACCAGGCAAATCTGCCTTTGATATGTCCAGGATGTAGTAAGGATGTATGTGGAATTAAATAGACTGCTGGAGATGGAAAAGGGCTGACAGATAACCATCTTCACTTGCTGATCCCAGGTGCAGTTTGCTTCAAAACAAAGTCATCTTGTTTTTACAGCCCTGAAGAATAGAAGAGCTTCTGTTGATGTCACTGATGTTGGTAACTGAACATGGAGCAGCAGTGCTGGGTTTGGAGTCTCTACACCACGAGAGAAGCGGCATCTTCTGGGACTGCAGGTGGGAATGCCAGAGAAATGTGTTTGGAAAAGAGGCTGGCATTGCCTGTGGCCCTTGAGAGGCCAGTCCCTGTTTAGCTGCAGTTTCTGCTTATTATCTTCCTGTCTGTGGGCTGGGAGCCCTGTGCATCCCAAGCATCTTACTTCTTATAGATCTTTATAAGGGACCAGCTTTGCTCTTGGCCTCACTTTTCAGCAGATCACTCTGGAGAGTTCCAATATAACCCCATTTCCCAATCTGACCTCATGTTTGAGCTAACCAGCCTGGCTGCCTCACTTCTGACAGATTTCAGCAGTGGAGGCGGAGGATGATGGAATGATACTCCAAGGAAGTGGAAGTCAGTACTCTGAGAGGGGTTTTTAGGTTTTCTGTTCTTACACCAAGAAGGTGGAAAGCTGTGTGTTTTGTATAGCAAGCCTGCCTTTGGCTAATGTGCTTGCCAGAGATTTGGATATTCCCCTGAGCACAATCTTTCCTGAACACAGAGTGCTACAGACGTGTTCTCCACAGTCATCAGAGCAGTTCCTTAAAAGCAAAGAAATACATCTTTTCCTGGTTGTAGGAGTCTTGCTATCCCTTTTGGCTCTTGGTTTTGCAGTAATGGCACATGGAGAAGGTTGAAGGGAAGTGTTTTCTGCCTCCAGAATTTCTCTTTGACACCTTATTAACAAAAAAAAAAGTTTTGTAATTGCACACAAGCAGCTTCTTCCAGGCTGAATGCCTGAAGGTGCATGGGACTTGAGACAGGAAGGCTGAAATAAAGCCAGTGCTATTTGAGTGCAGGACTGCTACTTACTCCTGTAAGACTGTCCTGTTGGAGGTTTTGTGGGCACCTTATTGCTACTTGCCTGCTGCACCTTGTAGCCCACCTCTGTAGAAGTGCCTGGAGCTCATGAGGAGTGCCCAGGAATACAGCAATACCTTGGCTGAGCCCTTTCTCAGTGCCTGCAGTTGTTCAACACGTCAATCCTGGGCTCAGTTTGAGCAATAGTGAAATGCTTTGTTGCAGATGAAGCCAGGGCTGTACCTTGAGCTAACAACCTCCCTTGTATTTCTTGAAGGGCCTTTCAAACCTGTGTTATTGTTTCATTTCTTCTCTCCTAGAACCCCTGATAACCACTGCTTTGCATGTAAATCCAGAGAGCGTAACTTGTCAGGAAGTGTGGACAATAAAGAAAGGCAGCTACTGCTGATCTTTGTACAGGGAGTCCTTGCAGATATTTGCTGTGCTGTGTGGAAGGCTGCAAGGTAGCTGTGAAACCTGTTGACTGGCTTTCCTGTGGCATAAAACAGGCACCTTCTGTTCTCTGTGTATTCAGTATCAGTGTGACTGCTTCTGAGATTTGAGACACTGTCAACAAAAGCTTTTTTTTATATCCGAGCTTAACTTTTTTATGCTAGCTGGGCAAAAGCAGCATAAGGAGCACTAAGGCCATCTCCCTGTGAACTGTCAGGGCTAATATGTAACAATTCAGAAATTAAAAATAGTCCTTTGCTGTAAGGCTATCTCTGGTAAAGATAAGAGTTGACCTGGCTGTGGCGTTCATCTCTGCAGATCTTTCCCTCTGCTGCTGGGGTGATGTGGTCTGGACTGCCAAAATTCCACACAGACCAGGGATTTTCATAACACAAACTTCTCTGCTCTATGGTGGATTTGCAACAGCTCTTACTTTGATTTATTTCAAAGCAATCACAAGGTAAAATGGATGTGTCCTTATCCATCAGCTTTTGGGGGGCAGGGATTGCTTCTGGATTGGAGCTGCAAGCAATTACTGCATGAAGAATATATGTTTATGGTTTTGTCTAAAATCTTGGGCAAGTGGTGATATGAAAGCTTCTTTGATTGTAACTGTGGCTACTTCCACAATTCACACATTCCCAGCGGTGCTTCCACCAGATTAGAGGTGAAGGGTTTCCTTCTTACCAGCCCAATCTCATTAAGGAAAACACAGGAAACTTGCATTGTTTGCAGTAAAAGGTCTTTCTTTTCCTGCTATTTGTTACAATAAACTTATGGTGATAGGCAGGAACAGTACAAAGCTGATGTCTTGCCTGAGAAATTGGATCTGTGTGCAGAGTGTCTGGGAATGCTGGGAGACAGGGTGTGCACATTCCTATAGGCAAATCCAGGGTGAAGACCAGCCCAGTCACTGAACACACCTTGATAAAGCAGTGCCTGGCGAGCACCTTTGGGCAGTGGCAACAGAGCCTCTGACACTCCTGGGCATCTCACCATGCGGTTATCCAGGATAAGGCTCCCTAAAATTGCCAAAACTCTGATTTGCCTCATTGTTGTAACATACTTTTGCATCTTCATTGCCAATTTCAGCTCCTTGGCAAAGACAAGGATTTTCAGGTAAGAGACCTGCTTCCTCCTGATGTGCACTGTCTGGGCAGAGTACTTGTCCTCGCCTTCTTTCTCTGCCTCTCTCTCTTTCACCCTAAAACTTGCCCTTCCCATCTGAGTTAGGTGACCACTTTCCTTTAGCAGACCACGTTCAGGCAGAGCACGGTGTTGGAAGATCCGCAGATCTAAAACCTACTTCTGCTGGCTCCCTGGTTTCTAAGGTTTCCTTGGGTAGCTGTTTAAAGCAGCTTTTGCTTTACTAATGCTACTAATGCTACCTGCTTCCACACTCTGGCACTACACAGTATTTGCTTTTGCAGTGACTCCCCGAATGACTTTATTCAGCCTAATCCAGATTGCATTACTGGACAGGGAATTTGGTTGGATGCCTTCCAACTTATAGTGAGTCCAGCAGCTGACTCCTAACACAAATATGCTGCATACTGGGAGACCAGTGTCATGCAGACATGATCCATATATATATATATATATATATATAATATATATATATATTTAAATAAGTGGTCAAGCAAATCCTACAAGAAGGGGTGTGGAGGGAATTGCAGTGAAGTGTCTCCAGCATCACTGACAGGGAGCACTGTTCCTTGGATGAGCCCTGCAGACACCTGAGCCTTTCCTAGTAGGAGCATGGCTCACGGATGTGTGGGTTTAGGTTGGACTTGATGATCTCAGAAGTCTTTTCCAAACTAATTGATCCTGTGGTTCTGCGATTCTGTGGTGCAGTGTGCTGTGTATAGGAAGCACCACTCCCCAGCCTCCCCACCACCCTCATCTGGTCCCAGTTCTCCCAGTGAGCTCAGCTGGCTCAGCCTGATGAAGTCAGTTTTCAGCTGGATGTGCCAGGGCTGATGCTGGGGGGTCAGGCAGGAAGATTGAGGCTGGGAACATCTGCATCTCTTCTGGAGGGGACTGGAGTTTAGCTCAGCTCTAGCAACTTGAGACCACACCTTGAGGGCAGCTATCAGTTTGTGGAGGTTGGAATCTGAACAAGGGAGGCAGTGGGGGGAAAAGGAGAGAAAGGAGGGGTGTAAAGAAGTGAAGTGAGTTGTCCTTGATCCCAGAGCCCATCAGTGGCAGAGCTGGGACAAGAACTGGCTCTCCATGCCCAGCTGCTTGAAGCCATTTCATTCTGCCATAGTTTCAGGTAATGGAAATGCCTGAAATGAATTTACTTCATTTTTGCAACTGAAATAAAACACAACAAGGTATGAGCTGCCTGTGGTTATTTGTGTGGCGGTTCTATTTCTGCACCTTTATATGTAACATAAAATACACAAAGCAACATTTCCATGGCTTTATCCTTTATTTGTCCTTGGGCTTTGTAAAAGGAGAGGAAATGACAGTAAGTGTCATTGAGCTTCTGCAGTTGTTTGCCAGCTGGACTCTCGAGCCTGAAATTGGACGAGCTGCTTTGACAATTTGTCTGAATTTAAAATGCTGGTCAGGAGAGCAGGGTCCTGTGTGGGCACGAGTGTCTGGCCATTTGGGCCTGACTGCAGGGAGCAAGGTTTTGATGTGAAAGGCCCTTGGTTCTACAATTTTCTTTATGTTTGGCACAGCATTTGAAGTTGAAATGTAATAGAGCTGGGGTGGAATCAGCCCTGTGAGACAGCACATAGGGGAAGTCTGGAGTGGGGAATGGTTTGTCATATTCCCCTGTTTCATTTGTCGTACTGACCCATTTTACTTGTTTTCTGCCCTTTAATTTCAAAGTTTTAAATGTCGTCTTAAAAATACAACAGATATTCATCAAGGTATTTAAGATCTGCCTGAGCTACCTTACCCAAGACCTCTTTACTTAGAGTGTACATATAAAATCTTTCCTCTTACTGGGCAGTAAACAGCAACACAAGTTTATACATGAAACATGAGGATAGAAAGCCGTAGTGGGTTTCTGTGGATGGGTTTTGGTAGTGGTGGGACTACAGGGGTGGCTTCTGTTAGAATCTGCCAGAAGCTTTTCCTGTCTGGTGGATCCAATGCCAGCTGCTCCAGGACGGACTTCCTGCTGCTGGCCAAGGCCAAGCCAATTATGAATCCTAGTAATGCCTCTGGGATAACATTTAAGAAAAGAAGGTTGTCAAGAGAAAGAATTCCAGCCAGGGAAGAGCAGAGTGAAAACACGTGAACGGCAATGCAGACACCAAGGGTGGTGCAGAAGGAGGGGCAGGAGGTGCTCCAGGTGCCAGAGCTGAGGCCCTGCAGCCCCTGGGGGAGCATCAGGGTACAGAGACCCCCCTGCAGCCCATGGAGAAGCCCATGGTGGAGCAGGGGGATGCAGGAAGGAGGCTGTGACCACGGGGCAGGCCCAGGATGGAGCAGGTCCTGGCAGGGACCTGCAGCCCATGGAGAGGGAAGCCCAGGCTGGATGGAGCAGGTTTTTCCCAGGTAGGACTCGTGGTCCTGTGGGGGACCCACATGGGTACAGCTCATCCCTGAAGGATTGACCCTATGGAGGAGGGACCCACGGGACAGCAGGTTGGGAAGAGCTGCTGCCCAAGGGATGGACTCACATTGGAGAGGTCCATCCAGGACTGCATCCTGTGGGGATAGGATAGGGGAAGGACTCGTCTCCTGAGCAGCAGCAGAAACAACAGCTGACCATAACCCCCATTCCCTGTCCCTGAGGGAGAACACAGAAGGAAGGAGGGGTGGGGGGAAAGGTGGTTTTTAAGATTATTTTACTTCCCACTCTTTTGCTGTGACCCTGTTAGTAATCAATTCAATTAATATCCCCATTCTGAGTCTGTGTTGCCCATGATGGTGATCAGCAAGTGCCTCTCCCAGCTCTTATCTCAACTCATGAATCCTTCACTTTTTTTTTTTTCCCTCTCCTCTGTCCAGTTGCAGAGGGGAGTGAGAGAGTGGCTGTAGTGAGTACCTGTCATCCAGCCAGGGTCAACCCACTACAAAAGCACATTCTGCACTCATGGTTGTAACTGGCTAATGACTATGAGAGGCCAAGTTTTACAACCTCTCTTCTTTATCATTGCGAAGGTTCCTGTATTTATCTGATACAAAACAACTGTTAAAAGCCTCCTTACCTAAAAATTTCCTGAACGCTATCAGAGTGGTATGACATCCATCAAATTTTAGCAGCAATTGAACTGTTATCTACAGCCTGTTATCTGCAGAAGTGCTTTTCCCCCATTTATTACCTTGGAAGCAAAGGCTGAATGTGAGTGTGAAATCAGACTGCCACAGCCACTACGGTTTATCCTAAAAAGCTTTGCTGTACATAAAAGCTCAGCTGCAGGAATTTTTCACCTTCCTTTTTCCTGCTCCACCCTCCAGCCACGTGCAGATAAGAAGGAATGTTTGGGACAAACCCCCACCACTTCTGCCCTGATTTTTTTTGCTGGGTTTCAGCCCAGTCTCGTTGCAGGTGGCTCTTTTGCTGTTGGCAGATGTGTCCTGTGATAACCTTGTACCTGCCTGTGCCTCTGAGCCAGGCAGCAGGGCAGCTGCAATATTAGAGGCAAGTGCTAAAAATGTAGAAATTTTACATTTTAATGGCTTCAGGGTGTCTACCCTAAGACACATGTACCTGGTGAGTGCTGTGTGATGCCACTGCATTACCTGAGGCGGAGGAGGAGAGGAAGAAGTACCCTCTGGCCCCAAATGCTTAAGAAATTATGTAGGGTAAAGGAGGGAGTTTCGCTTCTTCTTCTTAGACTTCCCTTACTGAGTTCTGGAAGATCTTCCTGCTCTGTTGCTGAAGCACAGATCTCTGCTGGCAGAGGAAAGAGCCAGATGGCTGCCTTCATGGCGTGTGCCATGTCCTGAGCTCAGGATCTCCAAAACAACAGTGCTCTGGGGACTTTGCCAGGGGTCCTGCCCAGTGCAGGGCAAAGCTGTGCTGTTCTGCTTGCTAGGGACTGCCAGTGTGAATGTTTCAAGAGCCAAGTGCTGAGGAGAGGAGTGTGTATCTCTGGGATTTGCTCAGTGGGGAGATAAGCAGAATTCAGGCCAGAATGGTGTAGGAAGTTGAATAGCACTTTGGGGAAGTTCAAAATGAAATTGCTCAAAAGCACAGAGAGAGGCTCAGAGTCAAGAGGACTAAAAATGGGTTGGAGTGTGTTCAGTGTTAAGTGGAAAGTGTGTGTGATGTGTCTGCTTTTTCTTTGATTGCACTCAGGAAACTGAACATTTTTCAGCATGTCCCAGATGCGCAACAAGTGGACAATCGAGAGCAACAGGGTTTAAACTATTCTGGTAATGGGAACTCCAGGAGCTTTTTAGAGGTGACTTTGGGCAGAGACATCACAAAGCTCAAAAAAGATGTGGTGGAGAAGACACCAAGTTGGAAAGGAAAGGAGGAGGAGAAGAAAATGATGGAACCAGTTACCAGGGATAAGAAAGCCAAGGAGAACATGGCTGTGAAGCCACCACCTCAGCCAGAGGGAGTCAAGAAGGCAGCAGTGAAAACAGCCCCTGTGGTGCAGGGAAACACAGAGAAAACAACAGCAAGACCAGCTCCAGGGATGGAAGAAGCCAAGGAAAAGACAGCAGGGAAACCCCTTCCCAGGGCGGAGGGAGCCAAGGAGAAGGCGACAGCGAAACCATTCTCTGCGGTGAAGGGAGCTCGTGAAAACAACACATCCAAAGACCAATCAAAACCCAAAGAGCCTCCTGTGTCACTGAAAACTGTAAGGCCTGTTCCTCAGGCTGCTGCAGTGACAAAAAAGACAAAACTGAGTGCTGCTAACTACACCTCTGAGCCGCGCTGGGATTTCGAGGATGAGTACCTGCTGGATAACTCCTCTCCACCATCGGTAGGTGTGATGGCGCGTGTGTTCCACAGGGATGATGCCTCCCCACTGACCTCCTTGTCTGCTGTCCTCTGGGCGTGTGTGCCCTTGTCAGCTGAGGATGATTTTGGGGCTGGTAGGTCAGCTCACTGCAGGTGCTGGTGGGACTCAGACAGGAAGACCTCTGGATATGACTCAGCCTGGCCAGTCCTCTGTTATGCTTTAGTATGGGAGTTACTGCAACTGCATTTGTTTCCACAGGTTCATTTGAAGGTCAGCCTGTACTGGATTTCCTTTCCCTCAGTACATTTCACAGTGATTAATTTATGACACTGAACAAGTTGTACCTTTTTTTCGTACCTTTAAAGGGAGTGGTAATGGTGATCTAATCCCCCATGTGCCAAGGTGCTTCCTGAGGACCCTGTTGGGGTTGCCAATGGGTTGCCAATGGACACTGCTTATTGCAGCATATTATTACTGCTTATAGCCTTATTTGGTAAATTCAGATTAGACCTATTACAGATATTAATTTGAATCAGTTTATGAGGCCCAAAGCCAGTAAAACATTTAAGCATCACAGGCCTGTTATTCTGAAGAGGAAGGTCTTGGAGACTTGGAGTCATTCTGACTCCACTGTAGGTGACTTTCTGCCAGGTGGTTATGGATGTAGTGCTGAAATAGTGCTTCATGTTCATGGGGATGGGGACGCTGAGGGGAATGACTGATGTACCACTGGAGTTTCTGTGTTTCTTTCTGATCCTATCACACAAGCACTGGCACTCAATCAGGTTTATCAGCTCTCTGCTCATCAGTCCTTATTGTTTTCTTTTTGGTTTTCAAGACCTGCTCTGAATCAGTGAGGGCCAGAGCTGCCAAGTCTGACTGGCTGCGGGATCTTTTCCTGCCCAACATCACGATCTTCACAGACAGGAGATACTTCAATGGCAGCGAGTGGAACCGCCTGGAGCATTTTGTACCCCCATATGGCTTCATGGACCTGAATTATTCGCGTGAGTCCCTCAGGGCTTGTCAGGATGGGACCGTCAGACTCCCAACAGGAACATGATGCCAAGTAGCTGGAGCTTTGCAGCATCTCCCTGTCAAAGGCTAGGTGGACCTCCTGCTGGAAACTGTGGTGATTTCACTGTGTCCATCCCAAAGGCCCTTGATAACTCTGCACCACCTTTGCTTCACAGTGGTGAAGGAGGTCATGTCCCTGCTGCCCCCGAATCCGCACCAGCAGCTGCTCCTGGCCAACCGTAACAGCAGCGTTCCAACGTGCATCAGCTGTGCTGTCGTGGGGAATGGAGGAATCCTGAATAACTCTGGGATGGGCCAGCAGATTGACTCCCACGACTACGTCTTCCGGTAAGGCAGGCTTCCTCCTCAGAGGATGCACGGCTGCCTTAACCTGACAGCCACTTTCTGGGCCAGCAGGTAGTTGTGGCTGCATCACTTCGTCTCTTCTACTGTTGCACTGATTCCCAAGTGCCAAAACCACTCATGGCACGAGGAGACAAAAAGTCAAAAAGCAATTGCGAAGTTCCTGAGCCCCCACAGCCCGTGTGTTCACAGATGAGCCACAAAGAGCCATCTGCAGAGCAGGGGCTCTGCTGCCCATCAGGGTGTCGCTCAGAGCAGGCCTAGTCCTCCCTTCCTCCAGACTCACACTATCTTTTCCTCTTAGGAACATGGACGTGAGGGTTTGCAGTGGTCACTAACTCTGCTCCTCTGATTTCCTTGGTCAGGGTGAGCGGGGCTGTAATCAAAGGTTACGAAAAAGATGTGGGAACAAAAACCTCCTTTTATGGATTCACAGCCTACTCCCTGGTTTCCTCTCTTCAGATCTTGGGACGCAGAGGGTTCAGCAACATCCCATGGGAGAAAGTAAGTCGGGTCCATGCTGAATGGATGCACACAGCTTTGATGGGATGCTGTTTGTCTGCGGCCTTCAGTCCTGTTCTTGCCATGCAAAGGGGCTGAGCCAGCACTTTAGCATTTCCCTCAGTGAGGGAACCTGCAGTGCCTTGGCTGGGAGTGAGTATTTGCAGTAGCAGGCTGTGTCAGTCCCACCCCAGCCTTTTGGCATGTAGAAGTAGCTGCACATCAGGTGTTACCTCCATTCTGCTTCTGTGGACTAGTTGAAAGCTGCAGACTGAGGATGTGGGTCCAAGAAACTCAGTGAGCTTGCTTGCATTTTGTCTTGCTTGCATTTTGCCTTTAAAGCAGACGTCTGCTTTAATTTTGTTTTAAAGTGCTGCTGGTTAATGCTCATTTGTTTTCTTAGCATGTCAAATACATTCACTTCCTGGAGGGAGCTAGAGACTATGAGTGGCTGAAGGCTCTTCTGCTCAACAAGGACATCGGGAAAGGATTCTTGAACCTCAGCGGGTAAAAACAAACTAGCTGCCCTCTACACCCTGCAGCGAGGAGCTCTCTGCTTTGCCCTTTTGCTCTACACAGTGCTCAGCCCTGAAGAGGGGCAGGCCAGGGTAAAGCCAGGCTAAAGCCTCCCTCCCCTGGCAGATTTGTTTGTAGAAATACCTCATTTCCTCCACAGCTCTGAGCACTGCTGTAACCAACACACCTCCTTTCCAGAGGCAGCTGATTTCAATGTGTGGCCAGAGCTTGCAGAAAGCTTTGCAGCCCTCTGGGATGAGCACATGCTGCTGTCTGGTTTGGTGTCTGTACATGGTGGCCTGCCCATGGATGAAAGCCTGCTTTCACCAGTTCCTACCTATACAAACACGTGCTTTTGATATTCCTGTCTCCTGTTATTGCCTCTCCTCCGTGATCTCTTCCTCTGCAACGCACACAGGCTATGGAGGCTTTGTCATAATCTGGGAAATGTTGCAGAATAACTGCCCAGTGCTTGTGGTTCTCCTCTTACCACCAAGTGCTGATCCTTTCCAGCTGTGATGAAGTGTAGGATCTCGTCCTGAGTCTCCCCGTTCCTGTCTTTAGGCAGATGCCCCGGCAGAAATTTGACAGAGATTTCACAATGGACAGATACCTGGTGGTTCACCCCGATTTCCTCAGATACATGAAAAACAGGTGAGCTGGGGGTTATGTGCTCTAATAGGCTTGTTTTTTCTGATGGTGGGCAGCATCATCTCTGTCTGTCTCTGGGCTCTCCTCCCAGCTCTCTGCTCCCTTGTAACTGCAGTTCAGCCACACCAGCGGCCTGCTGTCACTGAGATCTGCCCATCGTGGGCCACACGTGACCGAGATGTAGGAACAGGAGCTCCTGTCGTGCCTGCTTTGGCTGCCTTTACCCTTCAGTCTCCTTGAGAGCTGCATTCTGCCTTCCCTGAGAGCCAGATGGCCGGCACTCCCTGCTCATTCTGACGTCTCCCCTCTGACTTGGGTCCTTTCCAAGGCCATCAGGACTCAATGCTATTTTGTCCTGGTGTGGACTCCTGCTTTACAAACAACTCCTGTCATAACACAGGTTATGCAGCTCCTGGTAGGTTTTGTGACCCTCCTCTGCACCTTTCCTGTGTCTCGTTTCACTCTTAGATGTGGATGGGGAGCAGGATATACCACAGAACTTCAAAGCCAACAGACTTTAGAGTAGTGGGCTTTAACCTGCTAGATCCTTTAATCCATCCCTTCTTTATCCCCACTGCCTCCAGACCTGCCACTTGCATAAAGCTGGGGCAGAGCTGTGCTGAGGTTGCAGTGCAGGGGATGGAGCGTTCTGGGCATACTGATGGCTTCTCTGAAATGCCTCCTATGGCCACAGCCTGCAGCAAGGAAGGAAGATGTGACAGAGGCTGCAGAGGGAAAGGTGTGCCCGGCTTGAAACACCACACCCAGCAACCGCTCTGTGCTTTCTTCTCTCCTGCTGCAGGTTTTTAAAATCTAAAAGTCTGGAAAAGCGCTACTGGAGGCTGTACAGACCCACAACAGGGGCCTTCCTGCTGCTGACTGCCCTCCACCTCTGTGACAGGGTAAGGGCACCGTGATTCTTGCACCCAGCACTGTCTGGCAGCAGGGACAGGGGAGAGCAGGGGTGGCTACAACCCTGCCTACAATCTGCCTTGAGAGTATGTGGGCTTGTGTCAGCTGTGGAGGAGCAGATTGAAGACAAGAGAAACAGCCCCAAAATAGCTCACACACAGGTTGTGAAGCCTGCTGTGACCTGGAGCATGTGAGCTCACAGGGAGGCACTGAGAGGACAGCAGGAGCCAGTGCTCATAATCTGGTCCTTCTGGGCCCCCATGCAGGGTGACCAGAGGAGCCCCAACTGGCGTCTCTGTCCTGTGCTCCCTCCCTTTGTTTGGGAACTGTGTCCTGTATTTCACTTAGCTCCCTCCACCCTTGGTCCCCCTGCCCAGTGAGGTCTCCATCTATCCCAGGTGAGTGCCTATGGCTACATCACCGAGGGGCATGAGAAGTACTCGGATCACTACTACGACAAGGAGTGGAAGCGGCTGATTTTCTACATTAACCACGACTTCAAACTGGAGAAGGAGGTGTGGAAAAGGCTTCACGATGAGAATATCATGAAGCTTTACCAGAGATCCTGACTGTGTGGCAAGGGCCATTGCCTGGGAAATCTCAACACCTCACTGGGAACAGAAGAGGACCACCAGAGCCAAGGTTAGTTCTGGACTGCCAGGCACATTTCATCCCCACAAAGACATTTCCCTCCTCCAGCACCTCTGTTCTTTCACAGCACTTCCACAAACGTGTGAATGCTGCAGACCCAGAGAAGAACAAGAAAATGCAGAGTGCCAACAAAATCCTTGTGGCTGTGCTGCAAGACTCCCGCTGGTTGTTGTAGGCACAGGTATTGGGAGAACAGAATCCAGGATGGATCTGGATAGCATATGGTCCAGTGTCCTTTATTTAGTCCAAGTTTTCTCTCTTTGCAAGGAGATGCTCCTCAGACTGTTCTGGAGGATCCTCTCCATTAGTGATGCCCATTGTGGAGTTGGGTATTGTCCAAACAAGCTCCCTCAGGAGCCAGTGGATGGAGGTGGACACACAGGTCCTGTCTCAGGTTGACTTTATTTTCTGGAGGTTCTGCTCTCGCTCTGCTCCCTGCAGATAAAGAGGGTGGACTGGACACTTCCAGGTGACTAATTCAGGAGAGAACGAGTCTCATTTCTGCTTCCCAGTGTGGCCTTGTGACACTTGCAAAGGAGCACTGCCATCAGCTCAAGGGCAGGTGCTGCAGACCTGCAGTACCTGGTGCCTCTTGCTCTCCAGGGATCCCATGGCTGCACAAAATGTGAATTTTCTGGCATGGTCCTGGTGTGCCAAGTCCTTGGTTACCTGGACTTTGTCATGCTTGGCTCCCAGCTGTGCCCAGAGCACTGTGTCTGTCCTCCTGCCGGGAGAGGTGGCCAGGGATGGATGCTTCCTTGCTGCTGGATGGAGTGCCTGTTCCCCACGGTGCTGTGTGCAGGACACACGCAGTATGTTGGCCTTCTCAAAGGGGTTTTGTATGTAAAATAAACGGCACTACTTTGGCCAAGCTGATCTTTCACTGTAGCCCTGTGGGTTGTGGTTATTTAGTGCATCCAGGGCTGATGCTTTAAAGGCTGAGATGTAGCAGATAACGAAGCCAGGGAAGGGCAGGACTGGAGGTTAGTTGAGATCACCTCCATCTCTCGCAGCTCTGCAGTTTGTGTGGACACACCTGAGCATCCCCCACTTGTTCACCTGGCTGTTACAGGACAGGGATCATCACTGGTCAAACACCTCCCTGAGGAAGGTTTGTCCACTCCAAGTGTATCAGATGCTCAAGGCAAATGTGTGAAGGGCTGGTTGTTCCTCCCTGTGACACTGTGCAGACAAAAAGCCACTTCCAGTGTCCAGGGCATCTCCCTGGAGTTAACCAGCTACACAGTGGACCTGCTCTGGCTGTGAGTGTTTTCCCATTTCTGCAGCATTTCTGATGGGGAAGCAGTGTCTCCAGGGACTCCCTGGAGCCCAAGGGAAGCATTTCAGCTGGGATTGTCAGCAGGGTTCGTCAGGCTTGATTTCCTTTGTCCCTTTTCCCTTGTGCTGCCGAGAGGCCAGGCAGTTGATCATGTCTCACCGAGCTTGCTTGCAAAGGACAGCCCCCCACATTTTGAATCTAAATGCAGAATTCAGCTTCTCTGGGAGAGGGCGTAGCCTGCGTTGGGCTGCTCTGCCCATACACTCTCCCAGTGTCCGTGGGAGCAGGGAGCTATCCAAAATGCACTGGTCCTCTGTTGGGAATGATGTAGCCCTGTGTGAACAGCAGGCCCACAGGGAGCCACAGGAGCAGACCACAAATCCTTCCTGAGCAGCAAACGGGAAGCCTGATGGAGGCTGGTCATCCTCCAGAGCTGATCGAGGAGGAACCCCTGCACCAGGAGCTCTGGACCCCCCTGGATGTCACAGCCCCTCGTGGTGGCTCTGCACCCCTCGTGTCCCCTGTCCCCAGGCCCTGCAGGCTCTCCCTGCCGGGACTCTGGGTGGGCAGCGAGGCACTTTTGGTTCCTTGCCTGTCCCTCAGCCGTACCACATTGCTGCGGGTTGCTTAGTGACCAGCTCCACACGGGTATTCTTCCTGCCTGAATAGGGCTTTTCTCTTCCCAACAAGTTGGAAGAAGTTTCTCTTAGACCCTTCCCTTCCCCCTCCTCCCCTTTTGTTTCCCTCTCCTCTGGGAAGCAGGATGGGGCTGAGTCCCACCGAACAAGGATCCCCCCATGGGCCAGGAGGGTTTGGGGATGGACTGGCAGCCCCCAGCCCACACTTCTCCCCAGTGCTGAGGCTTCCCAGAGTTAAGGGAAGGAAACTTCCCAGGAGGCTTTCCCCACTAGCAGTGCCTGTTCCCTCCAGGCTTTCCTCTCAACACAATCGGCACAGTTTGGTGTTATCAGGGATAACCTTGGCTGGAGAAGGGACTTTGCTGTGCTCTGGAGTTTCCCAGGAAAGCTGCTCTGACTTGGCAGTCCCCTCCACCTCCTCACTTTGCTTCTGTCCCCCTGGTGGCACCAAGACATCCTGTGCCACCGTGGGACAGCTGCCCCAGGATCTGTGGCTTGGGCGAGACCCCAGCTGGGTGAGTGTCCCAGGGCGAAATCAGGACTGTGCCGGAGTAGCCCCAGGTTGCTCAGTGCAGCTCAGCAGAGCCAGTGCCAGGGTGCAGGGCCACCCCAAATGTCCCCATCCTTGTGGCTGGCAGGGCAGCAGGGTTGTCCCTGTGCCACCAGGTGGCAGCTCCTGTTCAGGGACCTGCCGGCACCGTGCCGAGCGTGGCACATCCAGGTTTGGCACCGTGTCCACCGTGTGCCAGGCACAGCCCTGCAGCTGCCCACGCTGTCCCCCGGTGTCCTCTGCTTTGTAACACCCGCCTGCCAGCGGGATTTACGGCCCGGGGGCTCCCTGGGGTGTGTAGGGGCACATGGAGCAGAGGTTTGGTGCCTGTGAGTGCCACTCACAAAGCGTGTAAAGGTCCTGCAGAGCGACACGGAGCTGAGGGCAGCGCAGGCAGGGGGACCGACGGCAGGATTGGGTGTGACATCCCCGGGGTGCTCAGACACAGCGACTCCTCCTCATGCACCGACACGACACCCAGTGCCAGCGACCAGCAGGGGATTCCCTGCCGACAGCCGGGAGCTCCGGGGGCTGCAGGATTTAAACAGAGACGTTTGGTTCGGGTAATAAATACACAGCTGTGTCTCAGCATGGCCAGAAGCTGCTGCTGTGTCAGCCCTGCTTTTTTCAGAAGCTGTTGGTGAGTACCGTGAGTACCATTAGAGCCGTGCCTGACTCCTCCTGGGGTTCCCCAGGAGTTAACAGCCTCTAAATATTCCCTGCCAGGTTGCAGGAACCAAAGCCACTTGTCACCCAGGAGCTCTCACACTGTCACCTTCCTGGCAGGGCTTCGAATCTTTTGCTTCATTGCCACCTCTTCCTTCTTCCAGCGGGACTGCTCACCTGTCTAGCAGGAGCAGGCACCACCACGTCCTGCTGTGTGTTCACAGACACAAACCTCGGGGTTTGAGGTACCTGCCAGTGCTGCCAGCCAAGACCAAACCCAAGCAGGTGCCAGAGGGAGCCACTGTGTATGCCATACACAGCTCCAGGGCAGCCTTGTGCCATGATCCAGACTATCACTCCTGTCTCTCTTCTTCCCAGGCAAGAAACTGAGGCACAGAGCAGCCAGAGCTTCCCAGCATGGAGCAGGTGCTCCCTCAAGGTGCACTGCTCTGGAGCTGCTGTGGCTGATTGGATGCTGTGGGAGTGTAGCAGAGGTATGTGCCTGCTCCAGGTCAGCACAAAAAGCCTTGTGCTGGTATCTTATCAGATGCTATTAATGTTCCCCAACTGCAAAGTGGTTTGGGGCAGTCCTTGGGTGTGCAGGGGTGGGGGGTTCACCCTCCTCACCTCCCACTGTGTGTGGACCTTCTCCCTTTCTTGGGGATGTGGTAGCAGGTAAATCCAGTTGGACCAGAAAAACTATTGATAATAGGGGAGGGAGAACGAGATAAAGGAGCAGCCCATGGCTTTGTTGTGCAAAAAGCACCAGCTGACCTGCCAGTCAGCCCTCCAGGTGCTGGGACAGGGCCCTGCAGGTAAACAACTCCAGGGGGTGCAGCAGCCCCTGCTTCCCACACCAAGGAGCTGTGGTAGTCTGGACTCCTCTACCAGGCTGAGCTTGGGTGCTGCAGGGCTTTCCCAGCTTGGGCTGGGAAATCCTGGAAAGACACTCTCTGAGTCCTGGGGACATCCTGAAGCTCCCTCTATCCTTCCCATCGCAGCCATGAAGTGTCAGATGGGACCACACATGTGGGTGGATAAGGGGTTGGTGCCCACCCACACTCAGGGATGGTGTCCCCTCTCCCCAGCTGTGTGCTCTGGGGATAGAGCCTGGCCTGTCCCCATGGCCACATGGCTTTGAGGAGCCCTCAGGGACTGATTGCCTTGCTAAGAACAGGGAGAGATCAGACCACATCTGCCCTACCTGGCCCAGAGCTGGCAAGAAGGGGGAAGGCTTCCCAGCTCTGTACCCCTCCAGGGCATAGCCCAGAGCCTCACAGGTTGCCTCATGTCAGCAGAGAGGGGGTGGCCTTTGAACTGTGTGTTTGGCTTATCTCGGCCCTGGTCAGCGGTCCAGGGCTGGCCAAGGGCTCTGCCATGCACAGAGACTGCGATAAGAGCTGGGCTGGGCCCAGCAGCACCAAGAGGAGCCAACCTGAGCCAACCTGAGCCACGTCCTGCCACCACTCGCCAGGTCCTGCCACCTCAGCCCAGGGCTCATCCCCACAACCTTCCTGCTTTGAGGAGGAGCAGGAGGGGACTAAAGGGTGCATTTCCCTGATGGGCCACATCCTGCCACACTGGCACAAAGATCGTTAGAATCATGGAATCGATTATGTTGGAAAAGACCTCTGAGATCATCGAGTTCAATCTATGACCCGACACTACCATGTCAACCAGTCTTTCCCTAAACACCTCCAGGGATGGTGACTGCACTAGCTCCCTGAGCAGCCCATTCCAATGTCCAATCAGCCTTTATGTGAAGAAATTCCTCCTCGTGTCCAACCCAAACCTCCCCTGGTGCAGCTTGAGGTTATGTCCTTTCATCCTGTTGCTTGTTGCCTGGGAGCAGAGCCTGACTCCCACCTGGCTACAACCTCTTTCAGGGAGTTGTAGTGATAACTCCTGAGCCTCCTCTTCTCCCCAGCTCCCTCAGCTGCTCCTCACAAGACTTGTGCTCCAGCCCCTTCTCCAGCTTTGTTGCCCTTCTCTGAACAAGGGCACACCAGCTCAGTTTGGCTGCACAGCTGCACCCCCAGCCCCTTTCCCCATCCACAGCGTGGGGTTGTGCACAAGGCAGAAGGGCAGAGCCCCTTGCCTGGAGCTGCAGGTGCCATGGGGTGATGCTGAGCACAGCCCTGAGCATCTCTGGCCCCGCAGCCGAGCGCTGCCACTGCCCTGCCCTCATCCCCATCATCCTCCGAGTGGTCACTTCCCTGCTCGCCTCCTGCCTTTGGTTGTGGTAGCACCAACAAATCCAAGGACAGAGAGTGTCAGGGAGCATCCACAGAGTGTCTTCTCAGTGCTGTGTGACCCTGTTTGCCCTGGGCAGGGAGCCTGGCGAGGGGAGGCCTGGCCGAGGTGCTCCCGCTGCCCTCCCTGCCCTGCCGGGAAGGGGCCGTGCGTCAGCCTCCCGGGACACCTGCTGATGAATGTTTCATGATGCGATGGCCCTGCCTCCTCAGGCAGCCATATGGCCCCACGTTCTCCAGCAGGGCTGACACAGCAACCTGCTCCCGGCGTCCAGACTTTGAATTTCAGGGACGTGTTTTATGAGCAGATTTTTGGCACCTTCCTGAGCGCACCTCTGACCCGCGCGGAACAAATTTGGACGTGCAAATACTCCAGGAGATTTTTGGAGATCTCTTTCTCCCAGCTGGGCAGTTCATCGTGGCAAAGACCACAAGACTTTTCTCCACCAAGCTGTGGCTGACAG